GTATCTGATAAGGGACTTGCAAGTAGAATATATAAAGAATTCATGCAACTCAATAATAAAAAAAAATAGCCCATTAAAATATGAGCAAAGGGTCTGAATAGACATTTCTCCAAAGAAAATTTATAAATGGCCAGTACATACATGAAAAGATGCTCAACATAATTAATTATTAGGAAAATGCAAATCAAACCGCAATGAGATACCACTTTAATACCAACTAGAATGTCTATGTTCAAAAGACACATAGTAAGTGTTGGCAAAGATGTGGAGAAATTGAAACACTTATTCCTGGTGAGAGTGTGAAATGGTGCAGCTGCTTTGGAAAATTGTTTGGCAAGTCCTCAAAATGTTACAGAGTTACCTTATGACCCACCAAGTCCACTCCTAGTTGTAGACCCAAGAGATATGAAAATGAATGCCCACACAAAAACCTGTACATGAAGGTTCATAATAGGATTATTCATAATAGCCAAATACTGAAAACAATCCATATATTCATCAACTGATAAATGGATAAAGAAAATGTGGTATCTTCGTACAATGGGGTATTATTCAGCCATATAAAGGAATGAAATATTTGATGCATACTACAACTCAGTGAACCTTGAAAGCATTATGCTAAGTGAAAGAAGCCAGTTAACAAAAGGCCACATAGTATATGGTTCTAGTTATATGAAATGTCCAGAATAGGCAAATCTGTAGAGACAGATTAGTGATTGGCTAGGTCTGGGAAGGGGAGTGGAGTAGAAAATGAAGAATGACTGCTAATGGGTACAGTATTTCTTTTGGGAGGATAAAAACGTTCTAAAATTAGACCCGTTGATTATTGTGCAACCATGTGAATATCCTAAAAACATTTAACTGTGCAGTTTAAATGGGTGATTTTATGGTTTTAAAATTATACTTCAGTAAAGCTAAGTTTGGGTGTTTTTATAAACCTTTTTGCCCAGGCTGAAACTTAGACCAATGAACTCAGTCTCCTAGGATGGAACCCATGCATCAGTATTTTTTAAGAGTTCTCCAGGTGATTGCATTGTGCAGCCAAGATTGAGAATCATTATGTTTGAATCAGCCCTAATCTAAATGAGTTTTTAATTTTAAAAACTCCAAAAGAGTTCAGATCCCATGTAGAAGGACTCCAGGAGGCTTCCTCAGACCATGATACTACAAGTGTGGTCCTGAGACCAGCAGCATCAGTATCACCCAGGAACCTGTTAGAAATGCAGATTATTGGGCCCCACTCAGTTCAGGTACCTCAGGAGCCACAGTTTAACAAGCTCCCCAGGTGATTCATATGTATATTAAAACTTGGGAAGCATTGCTTAGGAGCAGCTGCACATTGGAATTACCTGGAGAGTCAACAAATACCAATGCCTGGGTTCCACCACCAGCGATCTTACGGGTAAGAGAGGCAGCCTGTGCATCTGGGGTTTAAAAGCTTCCCAGGCGATTCTAATGTGCAGCAAAGTTTGAGAATGAGTACTGTAAAAAAAAAAAAAGAAAGAAAGATCTTTAATGGCAAATAACATGGCTAATAAATAACATTTTCTTATTTTGTTTTCAACAGAAGGATAGAGGAACGTGCATAAGAAAGTGGAGATTATTAATGTCAAAAATTTCCAGAGGAGTGAGGAAGGAATGGGAGTGAGACAGGGATGGGAGTGAGACAACAGTGGAAAACGCTAGCCCTAAAAAAAAAAAAAAAAAAAAAAAAAGCACACACAACAGGTATTTTTCCTCTAAATGCAAGAAGGGAATCCTTCGTATGATTATTGGAGACTACTCAAATATAAGTGGCCAAGGATTTGTGAGTTCTTAAGAGGGTTTTTAAAGTATGCTGAAAATATGTGGGTATTTACTGAACTTCCCTTCCTTTGAATTTATAAAGAAATGGTGGTGAACATTTCTTACCAAGCTCTGTACCCATGTCCAGCTTCTTCAATCTGGGGAAGGTATAACTCTTAAGTAGACAGTGGGCCCTGCGCAGGGTCTGGTGCATGCTCTTCCTATGTATGGCATTCAGCTCTAAGGAGTCTCCTCCCCAGCCATCGGCCACATCTCTCCAATGACCATTGTCTCTCTGCCATTTGCTTGTTTTTTCAAAATTATGATTCTAAAATATTTCCTAGGCAAAATTATGAGGCTCACAGAATTAGCTTTGAGATTTCTCAATTCGTCACCCACCCCTTCCCCTCCTTCCCACAAGCTCCATTTCTGTCCCCTGCCCCCAGATTGTCTTCTCCAGGTGACTTGAACCCACCTTCTTGGATGCAGCATCAGCACACTGTACCCTTGTCTGCACTGAAATTAACCATGCAGTTTCTGTGCCTTCTTGGGTTGATGTGTGTATGTGTTAGTGGGAGGTATAATTACTTTATTGAATCTGTGCTAATAAAGTATTAACAACTATTAATGTAAAACCCACAGTCCCTCTCTACCTCCCCCTCAGGAAGTCCCTAATGGTGTTTGGTCATTGTTTTAGTCACCTGTCACATATTATATTTTCTTGGTCCATATCTCTAACCACATCCTTAGGAAAATATTCTAATGAGTGCATTTTAAAAGTAGAATCACAACATACTTAAGATAGTTGGAGGGGTTGGCTCTTATTTGCATCACGATGATTCTGCCTATGAAGATGTTTCCTAACAAACAGTCAACTAGGATTATATACAACCTTTGGTTTCAAAAATGTCATCTTCTTATTTTAAAATACCTGTGACTCTTCTGAATAATAAAAAAAATGACATGAATGAACAGTATGTATATAAACTCTCTCTAAGGTTATTAGGAAAATATTTTTTATTTAACTGTGCCTAATGTTTTGGGGTATTACAGTGACCTCTACTTTTAAAGATGAGTGGTTATATATTAATATATTGGTCCTGAAATTTTGAGTTTTTACCCTATAGTGTAGAAAAAGCCTTTGTTTTTAATAGCTGCCCTAAAAATTTAACACAAAAGTTTTACTTAGCTAAATCTAAATTTAATCAGCAGCATTTCCCTACTTCCAAACAATATGAAGACTTTAAAATGCTTTCATTCTGATTTCCTTTCTTTGCTTGCTATTACTTTCCAGGATTTTAAACTCTGCTTGGTTTCGTTTATTTGTTTGTTTGTTTTAAGACAGAGTCTCACTTTGTCACCCAGGCTGGAGTGCAGTAGTGTAATCATAGCTCACTACAGCCTTGAATTCCTGGGCTCAAGGGATCTTCTCACCTCAGCCTCCTGAGTTTCTGGGACTACAGACATGCACCACCATGCTCAAATAATTTTTTTTTAATCTTTTTTTGGTACAGACCAGGTCTCACTATGTTGCCCAAGCTTGTCTCAAACTCCTGGCTGGCCTCAAGGGATCCTCCCATCTCAGCCTCCCAAAGTGCTGAGATTATAGGCATGAACCATTGTACCTGGCATAATTGTTTGGTTTTAAGCTCACAAATTAGACATCATCATCATTCTATTTAGATGTTCTCATATTTACCATTTTATTTACATATCATTCCTACTTACATTCAGAGCTTCTGGGATCAAACCGTAGTTCCTGGCATTTTGGACTGGTTGATAGTCTCCAGGATATTCAGGCAGTTAAATGCCTCAGAAAGAAAATGAGAAAAGAAAGGTCCTGGGAAATATGCCTCACCCCAACCCCTGCAGTGCTGCTGCTACTGTCCCAAGATTGTGGGCACTCCTGAGTATTTCCCTTGCACTCTCATGTGTTTTATGGAGTAGATGGGGACAATGACATCTTATAGAATGCTAAAATTAAATATGTTCGATTTAAGGAGCTGTCATTTATTCTGAGATTGTGTCTTTCCTACCTTTTTTGCTGTTAAAATCAACTTTATTTTATAAAATAATGGTGATGGTAGTTGATGTTTGTTTGGTTTTGTTTTAAATTAATTAAGATTTGTTTTTATATTCCCTTACTTGGCAAATACACAGTTGTGAATCGCAACCCATATTTTTTGAAATTTTATTGGGCCTTGAAATCCCAAACCACTGCTATAAACAACTAGCTGTGAGTCTGGTGTATGGACACTGGGACACCTGAAACCATGTCCTGGTTACATCAAGAACCTTATTGATTATTTAGATTATGTATGAATCCTGTGGTGTTAACAGTACTTTGCAGCCTTCAGTACTTAGCTGAACCGTATTGGATTATCAAGGAGTCCTCAGTACTCCCTCAATGATTTAAATTGTTTTTAACAAATTCCATAAGGCTGAGTCTATACTAGCAAAATGACCTGGGTGCTTCATGTGCTCCTTACATGCATCTGGTGCTGGTTTTGCCCCCAATTTTTAAAGAACACTGCTTTGAGAGTCACACAACCCAATATTCAACCAATAACTTACTGTGTACCTTCTTCATTTGTAAGAAGAGGGGGTTGAACTAAGCGATCTCCAAGTCACTTTTCAGCACAAATGTAGGTTGTGATTGTATTTATGTGTATACATTTGTTTTAAAGCCAAAAAGAGATCTAGGTATTTCTCATGTATTTATATTAAATCTGAAATCCGTGTTGCAAATTTGGACATAGAGAACATTAATTTTTCTGCTGTAGGCTAGGCTCTGAGGCATGTTGCATCTGTAATATTGGTGCCACCATTTTGGCAGATGCAGTTTCGTCATTTCCTTGTAAGTGTTCAGTATGAAGCCTATATAAGATGACTTGAGTTCTCATTTCTCTGGTGTAAAAAATGGTCATGTTTAAATAAGGCCACGATATTTATTGCAAAGTGTCCCAGAATCCTTTTTAAAAAATATCATCATATGCTTGTTACTAAAGTTCTTATGTAAAGTGTTCATTCAATGTAGACAAATGATGACTACTTGAAGATGGCACCAACTGTGATTTTGGAGACCTCCAAATTCATGACAGAGTTGTTAACTGACAGGTTTGTTATTTCCTATAAGTACAAAGAAGGGAAGTATTAAAATAACTCATGCCCATTAGATAGAGGAAATTAACATTCCCTTAAAAATTGTTTTCCAGTGAAGGAAGCCCATCCCCTAGAGTGGAGCTGCTGCATAATATTGACCCGAACTTTGTGGACTCTTCACCATGTGAGTACCAGTGCATTGCTACTAGATTAAATCTCATTGGCCCACCAAGATGGTTTGATTACCTAGTGAGTCTCTAGCCTAGCTTTCTCTTTTATCCGGAGTTGCTATAAAGGTAAACAGTTCTTCGGGACACATCTTCCACTCATCTCAGAGGGCAGTGTGCTGTGAAATGAACACCAGCTTATGAATCAAGAAAGGCCAATTCTATTCTTGCTCTGCCGCTTACTAGCCTTCAAGCCATTGAACTCTCCCTGCCCCAGCTCTCCCCATTTACAAAAGGAGAACTCATGGCATCTTTGAGCTCCTTCTCACTGTAGGTGTCATTTTGTTGCCCTGCTCTTACCTAGAGCTCCAGAGCCACCTTCCAGAAAACTCACGGTCATATAAGCCACAGTTGGGTCCCAGCATAATGTGAGCAACCACATTATGTGATTGGGCTGCTGCACAACACCTGCTGGGTGTCACAAGTGTGACTTTCCTAGTAGTCCTGGAAGCGATTCCACTTGATTCTGCCTCCTGCCAAAATTAACCGGTAAAGAGCCCTACCGTTTCCTTCAGGGCAGGCATGCATGTAGTGCTCCCAGATCACAATGGACTGTAATAGGCCTGTATAAGTACCATGCGAGTGGCCCTAATACTCTCAGCATAGTGAGTTTGGCCATAGAAAGCCTTAGCAATTAGACTCTTTGCCCAGCTTTCATCGTAATGCTCATCTTGCAAACAGTGCCCTTACATTCCCTTATTCACATGGGGGCTCCATCTCCTTCTCTCTGAACATACTGCTGCCCCCTTAGTTCAACCTCTCCTGACTTCTCTGTCCTTTCCAAACTGTGTTATAGCTCGCCACAAAATATTATTGCTCAGAGACTCCTGCTCAGAGAATTACCCCACAGTAATTCTAAATGTGTCACCAGGCGCTCCGGCCCCACTTGCCCGTCCAGACTCACTCCAGGCACTCCTTGTCATGTTCTCACCTCCTAGACACTTGTCATCTCCAAGCATGCACATCATCATACTATTGTGAATATGCTTTTCCCAATGCCTGAAACACCTTTTCCCTACCTCTCTACAATTTCTCTCATCCCTTGAAACCCAGCCCCACGTACCCCTCTGTGAATGCTTTCCACAGCCCCGGAGGAAACAGTCACTCCTTCCTGGGTGCATGTGTCTCCAGATAGCATCCTTCATGTGTTCATGTTTGTGGCTGCATTTCCAAGCTGAGAGCTCCTGGAAGTCAGCATCTCTTGTATTTTTTTATCCTTGTCAGTTACCACAAATACCAGGCACTTGCTAGGCACTCAGTAATGATTACTTGATTACTCAGTGGACAATTGGAGAGTTGAGATGCAAGAAAGACCAAGTGGACACATTAAGACCTGGACAGGAAAGGGCCCTGAGGCAGGCGAGAATGGCTACATCATGGAGAAATTTCTATTTCTTTTGGAGTAAATGCATGTCAGTGAGAGAGGCAAGGGGAAAGTTTGAACCCTAAGGACTGTAAGAACAGTCTAGATTTGTGCTGTTCAGTATGGTAGCCACAGGCCACATGTAGCTATTGGGTATTTAAAATATGGCTAACTGTGGATTGAGATGTGCTATGAGTAGAATATATACATCAGATTTTGAAGACTTAGTACACCTATATGTTATATGCATATAACATTACAGATTTATTATTTGTTGAAAGGATAATACCTTGGATATATTGAATTAAATACATTGTTAGTGTTTCACTTGTCTCCTCTTCCTTTCTTAATGTGGCTAATAGAATTTTAATTAATTTACATATGTGACTTGCATCATATTTCTATTGGCCTAAAAACCTCTTCTGGAAGGTGCTAGGAAGTAAGTTGATCAGCTGAGCTGATCACAGAGCTGTGACTAGTGACTGTGAGGTTACATCAATGACTCCTAAACTTTTCTCTACCCCAGTACACTGAAGAGCTACATTTCAGTCATATCAAAATATCTAAGCATGTCTGGAAGAGAATACTGGGGAGGCAGGAACAGCTTTAACAATTTCTGAGTAATTTACTGCACTGCAAAGCCTAGTATAGCCTAGGTCTAGGGGATATGTGGAATATGCCACCCACATAATAATGGTTATAAATGTCTTTACCTGCTAAGTTCCACCTAGAAATGAAAAACCTTAAGAATCCTCACTCACTAAGCTGTATTTTGTTTGGCATTTGAAGTAGGAGCTTGAGAACTATACTCCTATGTGATGTGGTTTGGATTTGTGTCCCCATCCAAATCACATGTCTAATTGTGATCCCCCATGCTGAAGGAAGGGCCTGGCAGGAGGTGATTGGATCATGGGAGTGGACTTCCCCCTTGCTGTTCTTGTGATAGTGAGTGAGTTCTTGCAAGATCTGGTTGCTTGAAAGTTTGTGGCACCTCCCCGTTCTGTCTTCTTCCTGCTCCAGCCATGTTGGACATGCCTGCCTCCCCTTTGCTTTCTGTCATGATTGTAAGTTTCTGAGGCCTCCCCAGCCATGATTCCTGTACAGCTTATGGAACCCCAAACCAATTAAACCTCTTTTCTTTATACCCAGTCTCAGGTAGTTCTCTATAGCAGTGGAAGTACAGATGAATACACTGTATAACCGCCACAGCGCTGCGTGCTGCAGGGTTCTTGGTGCAACCTGCTGTGCTTTTTCCTGCCTTTCCTAAGGTCCACTAGCAAAATAATAGCATAGGCAAAAGGTTTCTCCACTGTAAAAGTTGGTAAGAACATGGAAATTAGAATATAAAGTTGTCTTAATCTTGCCACCCATAGACTATAAGGACATTTACTTCTCTTAGACTCAGTTTCCTACATATTATGTGGTGAACTTGAAAGACCCAGTACTGCAGCCACAAATTCAGGGAACCTCTTTGGCCTTCTGCTGCTCTTTCTCCCCTCTCTGGAACCCACGCAGGCCTTCATGTTGGCTTCCCCACCGGCTTGGGACTACTGCTGTGACTCTTGCAGGTAACGAGGGACATTGTCAGCTCTTGCAAGGACATGTTGCTTCATGCGCACAGGGCATTCTCTGCTGTCTGTGCCTGCAGGTAGCAAGGTGCCACCCACCTCCTCACACATGGCAATCCCATGGGCCTTTTCCTGCCTAGTTTTTATATTCACTTCACTCTACTGAGAGGCAGAAACAGAAAAAAGGAAAGCTGTCTTTGCGTGCCTGCTCTTTTTTAGGATGATGATACAAGCCATTTCCTTTTCTATGCAATTCACTTATGAGGAAAAATTAAATCCAGCTATAAAAAACCATGTTCTTACAGGACAGCCAAGTCTGGATATCATATTCATAGAGCATAGAGGCTTTTATGGAGTAAAATCAGAAAGCAGCCAATCTAGGGTGTAAATTAAGGATTAAGAAATGAGTCAGTGTTATCACAGAAGCATTTCTGAGGTTTCTCCCTGCAGCTCTTCCCAGATCGTTTGTTTTTACTACAGGAGAAGAAGGTAGTGTTCTACCTCCACCTTTGCTAAAGTCACTTTGTCAGTTTCTTCACCTGTGAAGTAAAGATGGAATTAAATGAACTCCAAGGTCCCTCTGGCTTCAGTGTTCTGTGAGTCTCTGTATAAATGGGACCTCAAAGAGCAAATCTGCTTACTCTGCTTCTCTCCTGTTTCTGCCTGCTAGAAGGAGTGTGCCCATTGATAAGCAGTGTTGTTGCCAAAGGCATGGTTATAAATAGATGAACACAAGTGAAAGTGCTAGAAACATTATATGCACTAGAGGAATTTGAATTATTTTATGAGTTTCTTATTACTACATCCGGCCACCTTTCTGATCTCTGTTCCAAAACATCACCTTATCAATCCACTTTTCCATCTCCTCTTTCCCTTAGTGGGTCATCCTGAGGTTGTTGACCAATGTCTCCTGTGATCCTGAATCATATGAATAGCGATTACGCACTTTCCAGGAGATGTCTGCCTTCTGCCTAGCACCAGATGCCCCCAGAAGCTGGCCTCTTGGATTTCAGCAGCTACGTCCCACACTCCCCACCAACACACACCCCATTCCCCTAGTCAAATTATATGGTGCCCAGAGTCCCATCCTGCTGGTAGAGTCAGGATTTTTTTCATGGTCACATACCACGGTAGGTTGTGACTTGGATACTAACAGTAAAAATACTCAAAGATTGGCACAGAATATTGATACACATACACATTCACAGAGAAACATGCACACACACCAGAGGTCACCGAATCTCTCATAGACCAGGAGATTCACCATTCTGCAGTAAAGCATAAAGAAGTCACAAGGATACATACATAGATCACACCATTAAGATGATTACAATCAATTTAAAAAAGAAAAGAAAGAAAAGGAGAGCTAGTGGAAGCAAGGGAGGGAGGGAGGGAGGGAAGGAGGGAGGGAGGGAGGGAGGGAAAAATAAGAAGTGTTGTTGAGGGTGTAGAGAAATTGAAACCCTTGTTTACTGTCAGTGAGAAAGCAAAAAAGTGTAGCCTCTATGGACAATAACATTGTGTGATTACTCAAAATATTAAAAATAGAATTATCATAGGATCCAACAATCCCACTTCTGGGTAAATATCTAAAAGCATTAAAAGCAGGGGCTTGAACAGTTATGCACACTCATGTTTGTAGCAGCATTACTCACCATTACTCAGAATAGATGAAAGGTAGTAGCAACCCAAGCTCCATCAGTGAATGGGTGAATAAACAAAATGTGGCATATATATGCAATGAAATATTATCCTGCATTAACAGTGAAAGAAATTCTGATACATACGACAGTATGGATGAACCTTGAGGACATTATGCCAAGCAAGTCACAAAAGGAAAAACTGTATGATTCCACTTTTATGAGGTACCTAGTAGTCAGATTCATAGGGACAGAAAATTGAATGGCGGTTACCAGAGGTTGTGGGGAGGGAAGAAAGGGGCATGATTGTTGAGTGGGCATAGAGATGGATGGTGATAATGACAGCACACAATGTGAATGTATTTAATGCCACTGGACCATACAAT